TTCCGCCCCCGCCAGTGCAATTTTTTCACATGATATTTCCCTGGAAATGAAAATCTACTCCTCCGATAAAGCAAAAATTAACATTGAAAAATCATAAAAGCAATCGTCATTTCACAAAATCTCCAAACAGAACCCGAAATATAAAAAGTCATAGAAAAAAAAAATATTTAAACCGAATGAAAACGACTGCAAAACCTCAGGATATTAATCTGGCAGCAGTTGAATGGACGAACCAATTAAAAATATTTCCCCCATTCAGCAAAAATAAATTCAAAATTCGTATTTAATTGGCCATTCCAAAAAAATCGATAAACAATATCTACAGCGTAAAAAGTAGATGGGCGGTAAAAACAGCCATGAAACAGGGGGGAATTTTCCAGCGGAGCGGAAGGCTCACACGTATCAGCAGAAATTTAATTGACGAAATAGATCGTTATCCCAGAGATCGTTATTCCTAGTACGTGTGAGATGCACCAAAATACCAAAATATACTCATCGTTATACTGACTGTACCGACTGTGACCAACGCTGTCATACGTTCATATGAGGTTGAACATTTATGTACCACCATTTGATATCGGCGGGTGAAAACAGCGAAAAAAAAAAAAAAAAATTGTATTCGTGAAAAATGTGAAGGAGCGGCGTGATACAACGAAATATTGTACATCCAAGTTTTTTCCGGAGAAGTAGCGAGTCTCGCTAAGTGTATCTCAGTGTAATAGTCGTTCAATAAAAGTTTTAATTGCATGACACGCTTTCTGGGGGAAAGTTTACGATTATGTTCTTCACGAGGCGATGGTTTGTTCTATGAGAGACTTTCTGGAGGAGAAATCAATGTTGGTTAGGTCGTGAGAAGTATTTGGACGGTGCAATATAAGTTGTTAATGTGATTAATTACGATTTTTGAGGACTTACGGATGTTGAGGCATTCGGTTCTCTCTAGGCACTCACCTGAAACAGAAAAGGAAGAAAAAAATTGAGTTTTTTAAGATTCAGAAATTTATTATGAATTAATTCATTCATGGATCGTAATTCAATTTAAATATAGCTTGAGACAATCTGCTTTGTCAGCTCTACATTCTGACTGTGAAAAAAGATTCCTTTTTGGTCAACTGAGATGCCAGAAGACATCATTCAAGACGATCTGCCAAGTCAGCTTCCTTTTTGGTCAACTCACAAACAAAACAAAAGTCCCCAAATCGTGCAAAAATTCAGGAAAGCTTTCCAATATTTCAAGACAGCTTCCCAAATGTCCAATAAGTTTCCCAGATTGGTTTATGGTCAACTGAGATGCCAGAAGACATCATTCAAGACGATCTGGCAAGTCAGCTTTCTTTTTGGTCAACTCACAAACAAAACAAGAGTCCCCAAATCGTGCAAAAGTTCAGGAAAGCTTTTCAATATTTCAAGACAGCTTCCCAAATGTCCAATAAGTTTCCCAGATTGCTTTATGGTCAACTGAGATGCCAGAAGACATCATTCAAGACGATCTGCCAAGTCAGCTTTCTTTTTGGTCAACTCACTAACAAAACAAGAGTCCCCAAATCTTGCAAAAATTCAGGAAAGCTTTCCCACGTTTCAAATCATCTTCCCAAACCTTCAGCAAGTTTCCCAGAATGGCATCCCACCCTCTACCCCCCCCAACTACATTCCACCCGTCGTCTCATTTCATTACTCCCAAAAGCGAATCACCATCATTCCGTACATCTAATCTCCCCTAATTATTGAACCCTGTCAGCAGACGGATAGTGATTGAGGTCTGGGAGAGGGCATCCAACAGTAGTCAATGTATGGACGGCTCTACTGCAGGCGGCAGACAGCCCGGCGGCCGCAGACTTTGAATTATTAACTTCAACCAGACATACTCGCAAGTGCTACACATAAGTCGCCAGCATATAACCCTGTCAGTCTCACTATTCTCTTCCGCGAAAACCTTCATCGTTTCTCGTTATGTCCCTGCCTTATTCATTCCGTTATTATTATCAAGGTCCCGCTCATTTGCACAACAACATCTCAATTTCTAACCGAATTCATTACATGAAGCGACCCAATTTCTTCCGATTCCCTCCACTTTTTAATACAAATTAGTGAATGGAAATGGCCCATGCCGATCACTCACCGGGAAGAATCAATTACCAGGATTCAATTACTGAAATAACTGTTTCAACGTCTCAGATTGACGTCATTATGTAACCGGGTCACAGGGAAAATGATAAATGCATTATTCAATGCCCATCAGCACAAGTCCCTTTAGTCATTTTTTCAATTAACAAACATCAACGAAATCACTGAAACATACTTTTCCAGAAATTGAGGAAATTTAATCATGAAATCCGAATGCATCTAGTAGACTCAATCACTTCATATCGGCTCTATTTTCATCATTTCATTTGGATACGAATTTTGTAGAGCGATACAATCTGATTGATGATCATCAATCAAATCAACAGAGAAGTCACTAGAACCACAGTCACAATTGGTCGCGGATCTTAAAACTCTCTATACAAAAAACTGACTCATAATCCTATTCTAAAAAGAATATACACTTAAAGTCGAAAACTATCGATATCTCGCAAGTCTGTCACGCTTATTCCTCATTGGTTCCAGTCGTCTGAGGCAGCAAATTTAATTCGTGATTAATTTAATTTTGAGATTTTCAGTTATGATTGTTACAATTACAGTGCGCGTTCGGTATCATTAATAAAAATTCGTCAATGAGTTGGCCAAAATTACAACCGGACCATGCCACTACAGTTTTTGGCCTCTGATGTAAAATTACGATTTTTCGACTTATCTCCCTTTACCACTTAGCTACTGAATTTGCCATGATGTTTCTCCGAGTGTCGATGAACGCAACCGCAGGCTTCACCTCCCCGGACTTGATTCGTCCAATCTGAAAGATAACATTGAGCACAGGATTGTTTCGGGAGGGGTCGAAAGGGCGCCAGCAGTTAAGAGGATATTGGATTTTGCATGGGTTAGAAAGGCCTCCGAAGTCGGAAGCTCGTTATGTGCAGCACGCAAACACACGACTCGAAATTATCTTCGTAATTAACTGCGCTTCTTAACATAACGCATGGCGTGCCAACTGGTTAGACATGTACCATATATACGTATTTGAACACTGGAGAAGGTAAAATACATGTGCACACGGAGTGAGTATTTTTGGTATGTAGTTGTGTGTATATGAATACTACATTTATGTATGAGTTTGAGCGAGTGTGGGGGGGGGGGGGGAGGATAGACGATATGTAATCCGAAACTGGCACCACCTGCCAGAACCCAAGACTGGTTAGGCGAGAGAGATAGGGTGTATTGTGCATTAGTGATTCCTCATTGAGGTAGAAATCTAGAATACGTGGAAACAGAAAGCTAAACATTAGCAACAAATGTGACGAGACTTTGTGGCCGGAAAATTTATGACTGCCAGATTACATCTGAGTAGTTGGTTGTAAGACTGTTAGAAGTATGACCCAGCTCTGAGGAAAGAAAACTTGACTTCCCATGGCCGTCATTATTTTCTGACCCAGTAAATTGCGAAACCTGACGTGACACCGCAGTTCCCTAAACTCAGTCTCAAACTTATTTGCTCATTTCATTTTTAATCCACACATCCACTGCCCTGATGCCACACAAATGAAAAGGAATTTTATCTTTCTTTGTCCGGAAATTCGCATTCTTTGAAATATAAGGTGGGAGTGAGGCAGCCCTCAAGGCTGAATTTCATATTTGGGATTATAGAATGTTGGAGAAGCAGTCCTTTCAGAGAAGGTCAACGGACAACGATAGAGCACGACGGCCTCGGGATACAGTATAGTGGGCGGGTATGAAAAATGGGTTCGTTAGACGTCGGAGGGCCAAGACCATGTTTCACCGTTTTTCCCTTGTAATTTCGTTGGAAAATGTTAAAGTTTGATGGTAAAAACAATGGAAAAGGTGTCTTAGCACTGCGCATTGTGGATTAAGGTATACAAATGGGGTCGAAAATTTTCAACTAAAAAATGAGAGACGTAAAATATGGGATTCATTAATGAAACGCGTGAGTTTTGTTCGCGGAAAGCCAAGCTTTCTCCCAAGAAATGCAACTTCTGTTCTATGAGGAGCATTTTGAGAATTTATGGCTGAGACATGCACTCTTTTCACGTCAAAAAACACTGCAATCGAGACTATTTTCCTCTGGCAGCTTTTATCTTATTGATAAACCTGACTTTCTGTAGCAGAAGCTTTTTTCTATCAATAAAGCTCTTAATTGAGGCAAATTGCAACCGTATCTGATGCTTATTTTGTTCGAAAATCACATCTTTACAAAGCAATATCGCAAAAACTTTGCTCTTAGGACGAACAAACTGGACGGAAAGTCTCATTCTCCGTGATAACTCTCCAGTCGATGAAATACTTAATTGAAAAATACGAGACCGTCCAACCCCTCGAGTCGCTAGCCCCTTAAAATTACTCTCTCGTCCCCCCAAGTTCCTTTTCCCCCTTCATTTTCTTAATAAAGTACTAATTAAATTGGCACCAGATGGTAATACCCGTGGAATGTTATAACCACTCACCCGTCCCGATCAGCCTTGAATGACCGAGCATATACTCAACTCAGTACCACAGAAGCATCCCACTATCAGTATTGATTACATATGCAGATAGTATAGTGAGCTAACAGGCGATAATTATCCCATTCCACGAGGATCACCACCTCGGCAAACGATTGAATCAATGGTCAACGGAATGACCCCTTCGACCTAATGTCCTGAATAAGGAAATCCACTTAGCATTATGGTGGGCCACTGTGTGGCTATGGTACATGAAGCATAACATGCAAATTTCAACTGTGTTGGGATGGCATTGACTCAAAATGTTACGATACAATGGGATGTGGTGATTACCTCACTACTAATGGAATTCTAGGCTGACTTGTAACTTAGACGATGCAATATTTCAAGCACAACTTGAGGAAGCGGTGGAGGGACATGTGTGATCAAGACGATTAAATAGAGACAACAGGTTTGGAATTGAGGGGTGATGTGAGAAGACGTCAGGTTTCGAAAATAATTACGGTCATGGGACGTCAAGTTATCTTGTATCAGATATCAGTCATACTTTCAACAGTCATCTTACAACCAACTACTCAGATGTAATCTGATAGTCATAAATTTTCCGTTCACAAAATTTTGTCACATTTGTTGATGAGCCATCACTATCCATTTCCCTAATCAGCATCGCGATGTTGATCTCGACCTTCTCATTATGATTCATAAGCTGATCAGAAAGCCCTCAAAAGGCGGAAGCAATCCAATTTTCCGTTTATCCACCGAATAATCGCTGAATGAAGATTATACAGTTGACTATTTCAATTCTAGGGAATTTCAAAGGCGAGAAAGTCTCGAGATTTTTGCACACCAGTCTGAGCCTCGAGGGGCCATTCCCTTCCACTTCGTCGTACCACTGTGAACATTCTGCCTCAGCTCAGTATCTTCCCACATTAATGGTAGCTGAACCGCTTTCCGTTGTAAAATGAGAGAGGATTGATGGGTTTATTATCATCCAGAGAATGATAATTCACCGATGCGGAATAAAGCGTTAATCGTTGCGAGTGATGTTAAATCCTCATTGATAATGAATTCACTCGTTCGTGAACTCGGTGAAAAAGAAATTAAAGATATTTATCTGATGTGTCTTTTTCACTCTAGTTGTTTTGCAAAGAAGTTTCGAAGAAAACTTATCGCCTTATTTCCCTTCATCGCAGAACCTACCTAGCAGCATATAAAATTAATTAAATCTTATGTAGACTAGTGGGGTTAGGGGGGCCCGATAGCGTGGCAACGAGAATGGATAGCGGCCCGTATCATGTCAATCAGAGCAACGCTTTCACCAGAAACCCTCTAACAAGCATTATGCACACAAAATTTTGTAATGGACTTGACGATTTAACCTACCCCCTACTAATTATT